TAAATGATAAAAATCTTGATTTTTTTTCAAAAGATACGCCTTGAAAAGCTCTATAGGAATGATAAAAACAAGTTCCAATTGACTTTTGCTAATAAGCTTTTCCAAAGTGAAAATGAAACAGCTGCATGGCAGTAGCACTTTTTTCATAAGAAATCATTTTTCCACATTTAGAACATCGATCGAACAAACTTCAGCCAATCTACTAAGAAAAAGTATTATATATTATTCGATGTATGTTCATCTCCTCTTTCAAACAATGAAAATCGCACCTCTCTATCTATCTCCTATCAAAAGTTATTCAAAAAATATTCACTAAATAGACATCACTATAACCTTATAATCATTCCATATGATAGAAAATAGGTCTTCTAGAAATTTTATTATTATTATATTAGTTGAAGTGTGATCAAATAGGATAAAAAAATAGTGCATTCCTTTCTCTTGAAGACTATATTGAGAGAAAGTTTCTTAAAGCTTTTTCTAAGGAGGGTGTGGGTGTGGATGTCGATGAAGAGATGATGAACAACCAGATCCACATCCGCACCCTGCCAAGAAATGATCGGTACCAAATACAATATGCAAAAATGATACCAGCTGATGTCGATGACGCAAAATGATGTCCATGCGACAAAAAATACGCATGGTATTGCACCTTGAATACGTTCTGCCAGTTGAAGGTGAAAAAAAACCAATAAGACATCCATTTGTGTATTCACTCGGCTACACCAAATTCACGGAAAATCGTTAGTTTTTTCGGATATGTTGATGTGTCAAAATGTCGATAGCCGACCTTCGGATATGATGACATCACTCTAAAAATTTGCCAGCAAAAGTTCAATTTTGAAGCAAATTACGAAAAGTTGTCTCTTTGCGAAAGATTAACATAAACTGTGATGCGAAAAAAAATTTCGTGTCTTCTCACACCTTCTAATCGTGGAAGACTCGTGAGTGTGAACTCTATTCCAGACTGATGAATATTCACATTTACACGCACGCAATCACATCAACAGTCATCCACGCTCTTCATAAGAGCTTAAACTGCTTCCACCAATTCAGTTCATGTGAATTGGAACAATTTCGAAAATTTCTTTGATCTGAGCTGATTTTGAACTGTGATGGGTCTATTGAGAGTGACAACTGTCAATGATTTTTTCTGCTTGTGAGGGTGTGGGTGTGGGTATGGGTGTGGGTGTGGGTGTGGGTGTGTGGGCATGAGTTTGTATACAATTGAACACTACACCTACATAGACATACCCACACCACGCATCCACACCCACACCCATACTTATCAACATGGACATGCTTTTTTTGCATTTTCTTATGGTTGTTCCAACAAAAAGAAAAAGAATTCTTTGACAATTTCTTTTCATTGGATTTTTTTTCTTTATTGGATTTTTTTCTTTATTGGGTTTTTTCTCCTATTGAATTTTTTTTCTCGTTTTCTGAATGCATATATAAATGTTGAGTCAGTCATCATATTCTTTGTCTGTTAGAAGTGGAGAACGACGTAGAAACTTTTCTTAATTATTTACTGGACACAGAAACAACATCCGAGATAACATTTAATGAAAATATTCATAAAAAAAATGAATTATTTGGCTTGCGATATCTTCAGGCTTGGGAACTTTCGGTTAATCGTAAATTACAACAGGTGCACCACAATATCATTGTATCAACATTGAATAAGGTGGATAGTGGTCAAAAATCGGAAAGTGATGGTTTTGAAGATGACTTATTTTCATCATCATCCGATGACGACAAAGAAAACCAAGATAAAAAAACATTTCAAAAGGGACAGGTAAGTGTTCTTTATATAAATAATCAAATTCATCGATGGATAACATTATTCTTTAGAATAATCTTCAGTCTTGTGAACCAACAGAATATGTTGATGAAGTTGATCAATGTATTTGACTCCTTGAATTGCTTTGGTGTTGTCAACAACATTATCATCATTTTTCTGATCTTTATTTTCAAAGTCTTGATCAATGTATTAAACATGAGAACGAAAAAATTGTTGTTGTAGCGCTACAACAAATTGTTTCTCATCTCTCTGAAAAAATAGTTGATACCAATGAATGTCAACGCCATATTCGTTGTTTGCCATCAGACATGTCAGGTCCAACAATTCCTGCTTCGTATCAACCTTATTTTGATAAAATTCAGTCCCTTTTATCAACGAACAATACCGAACAAACCATGATATCCTTCCTATTGTTACTAAGAATTAAATTTTAATTTCAAAATGAAATGCATTCATGCTTGAGTTTTTTTTTTTTACTTTTTATTCACATAATTACATGCATGGTTTAGCTATATTTTGTTTAAAAATCCAACTGCAATGTATGCACTGTTTCCCAACCAGGGACAGCAATGCATTCTCACAAATTGACAATGGGAAAATTATGCCAGCTGTAACATAATAAACGTAAATGCTACTATGATTAATTAATTTTTCGAATGAAAGAAAAAAGTTCAACTAGTAGACAGTACTAGTTTAAAAGAAGATTTGTTATTCATGAATGATGAAAAATGAGTTACAATAAAACTAAATAATAATCAGCTTTTTCTTAACTGAAAAATAATTCTTTATGTCAATTATCTTCGATAGGTAATGAAGTAATATTGTCAATGAAAGATTTGATAATAAATTTTTGTCAACATTTTATGGACTACAGTTTCAGAAAGCAAGACACTGACTTATCAGCACAACATAAGAATAGAACTGTCTTTCATTAAAAATAAAATTCATTGATTCACATAGAAATATGTGCAGTGTGCAATCAACTGCTTCTGATTCTGTTAAAAAATAGCACAACATCTTTGCAAATAAAGACAAGTAAAAAAACAAAGTAATTACTTTTTGAGAAGCATAAAAATACTTGACGAATAAAGTCAGTCTGAATCATAGAAAAAAAGAAGTAATTATCTAAGAGCAGTTAAAGCAAAGGAATTGAGCGAATAGAAAAATATTGTTCAAACAAAAGTTCGAAATTAAAAAAAAAAGAAATTATATCACAGACTGGAGACGTAGCTCTCTCGCTCTTCATAATAATGATGTTCATCTAGCTATTACATTACATTCAGTCATATCTAAAACAATATTAACACAAGTTTTTTTTTCTACCAGTTACACGAGAGAAAAGGAAAAGAAGCATAAATCATCAAAATTGATGTTTCGAAGAAGGAGTCATTTGGAGAATAGAAGAAACAAAAAAAGGCAGAATGCAAAGTGAATAACTGTTAAAAGCAACAATTCTAATAACTTCTTGCTTTTTTAAAGAAGCGCAAAAGAAATCAACTATTCACTAACGTTGATTTCATCGGTAGATTGGTAGGTCATCAGAATAGCAGGATTATACATTTAACCTTTCGATCGTTTGATACATATTCAAGTTTTGCATAGCGCAGTCAATAAATACTCTTCTAGATCAATGATTACTCAAGCAAGTACTCATGTCCAATACAAAAATCAATTTATACATTTCATCAAAAATCTGAACCTATACGATGACTATGATGAGTTGAGTCTGACTGATCAGCTCTTATCTACGCGTGTACTCATTATCTCACTTTCGATCGCTCTCTTAATTATACTATCATTTACTGGTATTATTCCTCAAACACGTTTAATCACTGTTTCTTTACCATCTGTCAATGATTTCGAAAATTTCATCAATACTAACGCAATTACAGTTATGTGTCGCTGTTCTCAAACATCGATTCCTTATCCACAATTTGTGTCATTGAATCCTCGATTTCATCAAGTTTGCTCAAGTGATTTCGTCAGTGAAGAATGGTTTTCCTCTCTATTCAATGTCAATACAAGCAATTACTATCCTCTTGACTTTCGTTTGATGGCTTCTGCACAATTTCAAGTTTTATCTGTTCTCTGTCGAACATCACGTCAAGCTGTAATCGATGCTCTTCATGGATTTGCTGCAACAACAATATTGTCACCAAATGCATTGTCACGTGATGTACTCAATAGTTATATAGGCACGTCTATTGAACAATTCCAGAAAAATACACTTGACACTTTCTGTTCATACTATGATTTCGTGTCATCTTATATTGAACAACATCGTTTTATATCTGCATTAAGAACAAATTTCTATACGAGGTGTTCCTGGTACTAACATTTTTGTAACATTTTCTGCCATTTATCCACAACAAGTCGACCTAACTCGATCGTCATTCATGTCGAATGAAACATGTTTATGTGATCGTACAAGTGATTGTGTTTATCCTGCTGGCATTTATAATCAATCGCGAGCTATCATTCCCAATGAAGTCTTTTCTCTTGATACATCGCCTCTATTCATTGTACCAGGATTTCAAGTAGGATGTGTACCTCAAAATGCATTGCTTCAATCAACATTGGAATGCTTTTATAATCAATCATGTTTAGATATCGTGATTTCGTTGACTGGTGCTCTTCGCACTGTCTCAGCTCTGAATATTTCAAACTCATTTTCACGATTCAGCCCAACAACAACTATTGGTGTTCTTTTTGATAATCTAATGGTTGAGTCTTGGGAGAACTCTACTGACTTTGCCACCTATTTCCAAACTTGTGCACCTAAAGTCTGTTCATATTCATATGTACAACGGTTTTTTCTCATTTATATGATTACAACCATGACTAGTGTCTTTGGTGGACTTAGCGTAGCATTTCATATAACATCCCCATTGTTTGTCAAATTCATTTTATATTTATGTCGTCAACGGGTTCGAATGCCAGAAACTGATGAAGGACATGAACCAAAAAGAAGTAAAGTCAATCTTTACTTCAATATATATATATATTTTCTTCTTGTAATTTTTCTTTCCATAGATCTCCGAGATCGTATATGGAATTTCGTTAAGCTAATTTGTCACAAAGCTATCACATTGAATTTGTTCAAGACAACTTTTACCAATGTTCAACATGGTGTTTATTCTACTCGTGTCTATATCATGTTGCTGATGCTTGGTATTTACATTTTGACCGTTTACTCTATTTCAATAGTTAGTTCACAACAAATCATTGTCAGAAATCCAAGTCTGGATCAATTTGAATATCTTTATGACATGTATTCATCGAATCTATCATGTCCATGTCGTTATTCATCGATACCACGCTCAACATTCATATACAATGAAGTACAAATTCATCCATTTTGTACAAGTAGTTTTGTTCGTGATGATCGTTGGTTTCAATATTGGACAATGAAATTTCTCAATGGTAGCATCGATCCTACTCCACCATTTTATTGGACTGATTTTCGAAAGAATGGATTGAAGTTTTTTAATTATGTTAAAATATCCTGTGACATAGCCAATATCAGTTTGTCTGAGATAGCGAATTCGTTTCAAGAAGAATATTTTTTCTCTCCTCAACCCATTACACAACTAGAATTCAATGAAACAACTCAAAATTGGGAAACTTCTTTTCAAAGCCAGGTAGAATACAATGAAAAAAGAGACCATAAAAGCAGGTTTTCTTACACTTTTGAGCATCTAAATCGGAAGATTTCGCCGTACTATGCGACACTCTTTCCTCGTATATGAAGAGTATCTATGATGATATTGATCTTCTACAGAAAGAGGGCAAAACATAAGTAGATAAATCTGAAAAAGCAAAATAACATTACTCTAGTATCACTGAAAGCAAAATGTATCATTATATCTTTCATGTAGATTATTCAAATATACTGGACTAAATTATATCCAGTGGAACAAAGTATTCAACAGAGTGGATTAATTTCATTCGATTTTATTGATCCTTCTGTGATATCCAGGCAGATCAATAACACATGGATTCTCCAGTATGCTCCAGGTAACATCGACAACTATTATCATCTACCATGCGATTGTGGACAAGTTTTTCAATGTTTTAAATCATTGGGCTTCTATTGCTATTCATCGTCATGTACACAAACGAATGCCACACCGCATCAAATTATTCCTGGCCTACATCTTGGTTGTCAACTTTTAGATTTTGGTTATTCCACACTAGAATGTTTTTACAATGAATCATGTGTTCAGATGCTAATTGATCAGCGTCTTTATGGTTATGAAAATATCTATTTGCCAATTGATTTGAGTAATATAATAGCACTTAATTCAACCGATCTCATCATTTTTAAGACTGAATACGCATTAACAACTGCCATGTCAATCGCTTTTGTTAATCAATTGATCTATATAGGAAATTATACATTGTACTATACTCAATGTCAGCCAGAGATATGTACCTATACAATAGATCAGAAATTACATCCTATTGCTCGTGTTAACTTAGTTATTGGTCTGATTGGAGGACTAACTGTTCTTCTTCGTCTCTCAATTCTATCATTCATTAAAATTATCTATCTGATTTATCATTTGTGTTATCAGCAAACACGAGGTGAGAAACTTTTTTCTTCCATTATTTAATTATCTTGAATTATTTTAGATATTCCTCTACGTTGGAGAATGATTATTATCTATATTCGAGATGAGCTTTATCTCGTGAATGTGTACCAAAGAAAACCACAAGTGGAATATCAACATTTGGCAACAAGAATCTACATTGTTCTACTTGTTCTATCTTTCATGATTGTCTCAGTTTTCGTACGATTTCAGCATCGGACAGTATTGATAAGCGTAGATACACCAAATGAAACTTTCTTTTCATTTCTTCACAGTCAATATTCTGATAGTTTATCATGTCCTTGTACAAATATGGCTATTCCTTGTTTGAATTTTTCATCCATCTCATATACCTTACAAGAAGGCTGCTCTCAGATCATGTTACAAGAGTATTTTACGATGATACCGTCACCAGCAAACAGACTCTGGGAAGAATATGATTGGAATCTCATACAACCACGAATGCGTATCCTATATTACCGATGTATTTTCGCGATGCAAAGTTCAAACCAGGGGCTTATTACTTTTAATGATGCACGTTTGATATCAATTGAAACAATGACCTCAGAAACATTTCATGTATGGTTCAACTTGTTTATAACTGGGATAGATACGAATTCTGTGATTTCATCAGATAATGCTTATAAATCGATTAATGGTATGCTTCAAGCAAATCAATTTCATAACCTATATATGACAAGCTGGAAAACAGAATTTTCGAACTTAGATGAAAACTATATTCTTCGTAACAGTCCAGTTTCATTGAACAATGGTACTTGTTTTTGCCCAAGTGGTGAATCAAATTGTACAAAGATACCTATTTATTACGATTCGACCGGTAATTCAAATGTATTTCCAGGTAAACACTTTAATCAAGCTGTCTCATATTGTTTTATCATTGTACATTGACTTATTGAGATTTTCAGAAAGGTTTATGATTAAAAGATGATAGTTGAACAACTAAATTGATTATCATTGATATTTCATTTATTTAGGCATTGTCGTTGGATGCTCAATCATGAGTGGTGTTTCACACTCGACATTTGAATGTTTCTATGATGATGTTTGCGTCAATCAACTAAATAGAGTTTTTGGTAGTTCATTCACTAAATTTAATCTTAGTGTAACGCAGTTTCTACCAACGACTCCAATTGAATATATTCTAGATGAGTACCCCGTAGTATCAGTGAATTATTCAGCTAATTATTCTGCATATTTTCAAATATGTGCTCCGTCAATATGTCAATATCATTATATCGAACAACATAATGTTGTTTACATATTCACAACACTGCTTGGATTGTATGGTGGATTGACTGCAGGTCTACATATTTTCGTGTGGCATTTGTTAGGTCTTTACCGAGTCATTTTCAATCGTTGTCCATGTTTGTTGCAACGCGTACATCCATCTTTCGGAACTCGAATGAACCAACTATGATATGAACCAGGCTTCTTATTCAACTTATTAAATAACATCAATTTTCGATGTTGTATGTCCTATCTTGCTTTTCTTCAGCATAAAATTTGAGAATCGAGATTGATATCGTTGCTTTGCTTTGCGTTGCTTTTATTCAAATTGTTTATCAAGGAAAAATTATTTATCTTTATTCAATAAAACTTATTCGTATTTTAGCTTGTTATTGTACTCAATATTCATCGACATCAATTAGAATCAGATGAGAGTAATCATTGAAATGGCATAACCACCGAATGATTAGGTGTAGATAATAAATTGAACAAGGATATATTATTTATTGAATAATCAGAGATGATGAACAAGTATAGTAATTTTATTTATATACTCTTGCTCTTCATATGATATTTGGTTTAGTGGTCAATAGTATAGACAGATTCATTAGTTATCGCATATATCATTGATCAATTTATTCATTATTAGTCTATTCAATTTAATTTCTTACACATCCATATGAAATAATGTATATAAGAATGTTATCATTGCAAAGTTATATCTGATATATACAGATGAATAATAATGTTCGTTGATGAAACTATCGATTCTCTTTTCAATGCATCTTTATATTTTTGTTTCATTATTTTATTGTCATTACAAAGTCAATGTTTTTTTTCCTTATTATATGCCATGAGCCACGCATTTCAAGGAGCTTTGCTTTGTTGTGATGGTTCAGTTCATGATTTTTTGTCATTCATGTCTTCCTTTTCACTTCTATCTGTATATGAAACTCTTGAGTTATATGCATATTGATTGTATCATCACTAAAACTACAATATATCATTCAATAGCTTGAAGGTCTCATTAAACTTGATGAGATCTTTTCAATTAATGATAACAAGGTATATAGAGTTGTGTAAAACAAAAGAGAAGTATTCAGTGCAAAGTAATATAGCACGATAGCCAACTGTATTTCGTTCAATCACAATTTCATTTTCTTGTACTTATTTGTACTTAAAAACTACATCGTAGAAAAATTGTACGATACTGGACTACTTCGAGTCCTACGAAACCTAAAATAGTTTTTGAGCATGTTGCGAAACCTAGAAAGGTTCCGACTTTTCAAAAATCTGAAGCATATAAGGTTATTTCGCCAAATTAGAAAAGCTTTGAAAATGCTTTTTCGATCAGTCAGAATAATTCTGCGACATGTTGGATTTTTGACGGAACCTTTTTTAAAGTCTCCATTTTCAGTAAAAATGTCGTTCGGTATGACATCTTACTGTTTTATAGTGCATGAGCTGATTAGTACACTCTAAAACAAAATAAGTAGCCTCGAAACTCCTTAGAGAGTTTCCGATTTTGTTACTATAGGAAACCCTTAAAAGGTTTCCGAAATCTCGAAAACCCATAATATCGATCATAGCGAAGTCTGAAATACTCGTTCCCAAACTCGAAAAAAAGGTTTTTGAATGCAGAAAAAGCCCTACCAAGCTAGACTATACAGGCAGCTATCACTACTCTAGCAGCTGCATTAAGTATCCAAAGTGACCCCAGA